GAAAGCGGGGTTGAGGGAGGAACACAACCGGGAACCGTCAAGTTAATGAACACAGAGACTGAAGAAAATTGTCGTAAGTAGTTAATACAGGATGTAAAAGACGATGCAAGTTGAACTTCATGCCCAAACTCGGAAGGAAACGCGTTAGAGAATTGGAACAGGAAAGGACAGTCAACCTCTGGAGAAAGCGCTTAAAGTAGGGAGAAACTGCGACGTTAACATGAAGCCTGAGGAACTGAATTTTTCCGCGTTTTGAAAATTAGTGGGGAAGTATTCTCCCGTCAGTATGAATGATCAAGGGATTTGGTGATAGCTTAAGTTTTTAGGGGTATGTGTATTTTAGTTCTTCCTCTTGGCCCGAGAAGTATGGGATCATCTGTTCGCACCCGAGATGCATGGGTCTGTATGCGTGGAAACTTAAAGCCTCAGAGTAAGGGACCATCTATGCCCAAAATTGTAGAGTGGCTATTATTGTTATTTTTTCATACAAAAAAGTGGCCGTTGTAGAGAGGTGGCCGTTAGCGGTAGGTTCTACTGTACTCGTGGTTCGCACATGTCGTACCGTTAATTTTGCTTAACGGATTGATAGAGAAAACTCGACATTCTTAACTTCGCGATCTAGTGGAGGCGGCTGAATGCAGAGGTGAGCAGGATTGCAGTGAGCCTGTGAATACTGTTGTCTCTGATACCATATAACCCGGCATACACTGAAAAGGTCATTTATTCTTTCTTTAAAATCCGCGCGTCATATATAGGGGAAGAAACAAATGCGCCTCAAAACTTGATGCTGACACTTTCATGGTATTCCCCGGGGGTATTCCTTTCAACAGTTTCTTACAATCAAACAAACAAGTAGTCATCCAGGAATTTGTCAGTTGGAATTTGCGGTTCTGCATTTATAACGTTCGCAAGAAGAAGAGCCGAAGTTTTTCGTGTCTTGTTGAATAACTAAACCTTAAACTCTTTGATAATGGTGGAATTTGGTGATCCACAGTTTTTGGGGACGGCTTGCCCTCCCCTACCCTTTCCACGCGCTGTGCAGACAGCCTCCCCCCCCTGCTCTCCCTCCCGTCTGCCAACCGCTTTTTCCCCCTGATCTTTGCGAGGGTAGTTCGTCTCCGCCATCTTGCACACGTGTGTGAAAGGTAAATAGTGGAAAATTGTGTTTACCGTAATTTCAAAGGTTTGTTCAAAGGCTTGCATCAGTGAGTTGATGTTACCTGATCTGAGGCATAAGCTAAATTTCTTTACTTTTTCAGTTTTTTTTGCATGTTGAAGCCATATTGTGGAATGAGGAGATGTTGTTTTTGAAGACCTCCGGAGGAATGGACGCATAAGGTAAGCTTTTTAACTACCTTTAATATTTAACTGAGAGCTACCAGACTAGGTAATAAGACAGGACATGAACGTGACATTTGTGTCCATCAGAGATTATTCTGTGTTACCAGGGATAAATAAACCAACACACCTTAAGCGCAGTATTTGTTGAGATGTCCCCATTGGAGATGAGTCTGTTTACATCAAGCTGATTAGGTAACTTTTAAGTTTCCTAATGAAGCTGTAATATTTAACTTTTAAAATCGGAATCGTCACTTGTTTCTCAGTTTGGATTTGCTACAGGCCGTTTTTTTTGTACAGATTCTGAGTTCTTAGATAATTTATTGTGATTTGCAGAGTGCAGACTGCAGACTACATTTAAAGCTAACTGGCACTCCGGTTAGCCCGAATATCACTCAGGTTAGCCTGAATAGTTCTCACATTAGTCTGTTTGCAGTGTTTACAGTTTGCTTTCAAAAATGGAAAGGGGAATGCAACATAACATAGTTGTATTATGCAGCTATTAATGTTATGCCTGAGGGGGGAGGGGGGAGGACCACGGGATAGGGTGGGGACTTTGATCAGAAACAAAAATTTGGAGTCAAACTTCCTAACCCTTGGGATAAGATTTCAATTCAAAGTTCCCCACCTTGGGAAAAGGTTTTGAGTTCAAAGTTACCCACCAGACTGAGAATTTCAAGCCATCTGAAGTAACGAATATGTGCTTGCATTTGACAAGACTTTTTCACTGATCATGCTGCTCCAGTGAAAGACAGTGGGGAGGCTCTTCTCTCTTTATATATTAAATTTACATACTAATAAAGCCTCGAAAACATGCTTCAATTTGACTTTGTTTTCTTTAATAATTTGCACTCAACATGTACAGTCATTCTAGTTTTTTATAGAATCTATAAATTTCAATTATGAACATTAAAGTTTATCTTGGTTCTTTCTTCAAGTCATTATTGGCCCTCTTGCTCTAGTTTCAACAAAGTGCAGTACTCTTCAATAAATTTAAAAAGATTTATCTGACCTTTTGTTCCTCCAGTTTATTGCAACTGAAAAGCGCGGAAAACATGCTCGAACTTCTAGGAATTCTGGATACTTACAAGATGGTGGAACACTCGTATCCAAGCTCTCCGCATTCAAAGCCCTGGTCACTTTCATCGTTTTAATGTTGTTCAAACTTCCCGACCCTGGGCACAGCATTTTTTTAGCATTGTTCAAACTTCCCGATCCCGGGGCCAACATTTATGTTCAAAGTTTGCTAAAATTCCCCATGTGGGGTGCACACAGGCATTCAAAGTCCCCACCTCACCCTGTGGTCCCCGCCCCCCTAGGGCATAACACTGATAGCTGCATTAGTCTGCAGTCTGCAAAAGTCATACACTATGATCATGTGTACCAAAGGCACCCACAGTAGAGTGTCAACCAGTGTATTATATTTGCAGACCCCAGTTGCAGACTACACTTGGGCCTAAATAGCGCTCAGTTTAGCCTGAATATATCTCGGGTTAGCCTAAATATTGCCCCGCTTAGCCTGAATAGTGCTCAGGTGAGCTTGTTTACAGTTAGCTTTTGGTAACAGAAATGGAAGTACAATATTAGGTTAAAACTCTACAGTCTACAGTCTGCTGTCTACAGTCTGCTGTCTACAGTCTGCAAGCTGCAGATGTCACACACTGAGTGT